ATCAAGGTGGCTTGCATTTTTGTTGCTTCGTTTTACCAGCATGCATTCAAAATAAGATCTTAAACACAAACCCTCCCTTTCCATTGTAGCTCATAACTGATGATCTTCAAGATGACAAAGTAGCTTCCCATTTTACATATGGAAAACTCTCTGGTGCTGGGTTTATAGAGATCATCGGTATTGCCAGCTCTTGATGATTTAGCATGGTGTTTGAATTCCCTTTTTAAAACACCCAAATGAGTCTCTGATTCTGGGGTTATGAAGCTTGCACCTCATCTGAAACAGCCAATAACTCCCAGGTATGTCAGCACTGTTGATGGCAGAATTGCCCAGCACAAACATGGTCACTGCATTTCCGTGACTGTGCCAAATAAAGCTGAAACTAGAATACCCACGTCACTGGCAGACAGGAGAATGAAAGAGCTGAGGATTGGATCGTTGGAGGGCCAAGATAGAGGGAGTTATTTGGGATTGCACAGACAGTAAAATGCTAGGGGCAGATCGAGTACCAGGTGTGCATTTTTTTTTTTTTCCCTTTTCAGAACTTTCCCTTTATACTGATGCTTACTCTCTGATGTTGAAGATATTGCAGTAGTCTTTAAAAGAAAACATCCTGCTTAAAATATGGCCTTCCCCTGATCATAAACAGTTATCTTAGTTCTGCATTGCAATAAAAGAGGCTTTTCTGTTGTTTGCTTTTTCTTCTCATTTACCAGTGACTTCTCCTAATCCACTTCTAATAAAAAGGGAAAATATGAAATAAAATAGTTTTCCTTGATACTCATCTAGGAAAATCTTTTCTTAGCTCTGATTACATTTCAGCCTTCCCTATATTCCTGCAGCCTCTTTAGATAGCCTTGGATAGATGGTAGTTTTTGGGTGCAAAGGATTTTAACCTCTCCTCAGTCCATAAGAGATTCCAACTTCCTGCAGATCTTGGTGCTGAATATCCAGGTTTTTGTTGTTTGGACCCTGTTCCCTTCCCATAACATCATGCTGCAGATGCAGCGACATGTTGTTGCCATTGTAATTCTTATTGTCTGACTTCAGAGTGTGTCAGTACAATTTCTGGTGTCTGTAATAATTTCTTCCCTTTCCCCCTACTCTGTTCTTGTCTTCTGGAGCCTTTAGTAGGAGGATGGTAGATGGCATGGATGCTTGAGGGGCTGCATGCAGGAATTGATCTTAATATTTATCCAAAGTGTGAAGATACTTAAATGTATCATAATCACAGATTCAGTAAAAAAGCTCCTCACAGAGAGGTGTCAAATTGTAAGTAGCCTAAATAATCTCTGTAAAGTTACCTGGTCTAACAGAAATACATAACCAATGCTGTACATCGGTTGACAAGGTGATGAAACTTCAGGTTTTAAATATAGAAGGAATTCAAATGATGTCTGTCATTTGTGGATGAGCATGTAACTCACTTTAAGTATGGTTTGATCACAAATAGGATAAAAAAGCAAACTTTCAAACCTGCCCCCTCCCAAAATGACAACCCTGTCAAAATTCTATATCCCTAACTGTCAAAAATAATACTAATTTTTTCCAAACACTCTTCTGAAATAGTACAGGGAATGCATGTTTTGAGTTAGAGATCTACTTTCCTAAGTATTAGTTGTCTCTGTTGATGATACGGATGCTGTGTGCGTATCTCAGTGCTGCAGACATGAAGGGATTGAGGAAGACTGCGAGATGTTCGTGCGCTGTGGTGAGTAGAACCAAGCGGTTGTGTAAGATGTGTCACGTCCTAGAAGAGAGCCTTCCTGTCCCACACAAATGAGGCAATCCTTAAAGGGGGGAAAAAAATTAATCCACTTAATTCTTAGGGGCTTTTCTGCATCTCTCGGCATCCTGGAATAGACTGCCCTTTGCTACGGTCCATGTTACGTCAGCCAAAATTTGTTCTTTCTTGCGGCAGCTGGTCGTCAAAATTGTACAGTAATTTTTGTTTGTAAATAAAAGTGTGCCTCTACTGCGTCTTAACAGCACCAGACATTCACTCTGGGAACCAGTGTGCTTTTTTGGTTTAGTCAGATACTTTGTTTTAAGCCAAAGAAAAGAGTTTACTTAAAGTTAAGCAGAAGAGAAAACATTTACATGAAAGCCAGGAAAGATTTCATAGAGATGAAGTTGAAGGCAGGAATATTTCCACCGCGTTGTAGTAAGACGGGGGGGGGTGTCTTTCCTTCTGTACGTATTTGTGTGAAAGAGAGTGTTGGAATGTGTAGACCACAAGATGAACGTAGAAGGATTTGCTCTGTGGCGCTCTGAGGCTAAGCAGAAATGCAGACAATCGCATTTTGCTGTCAGTCTTCCTGTTGAGACATCCAATTTTGAAGAGACCTTCTGTAAAATAGATGAGCCAGGCTGCCCAGTCCTTCACAACGACATGGGAAAAACAGAAGTCATCCAAAAGGCTTCCAGAAGAGAACAAGCGTCTGATAGGCACCAAAGGAGAGCATCTGTGCCATAAAGCTATTGCATTGCAGTCTCTGCAAGCTTAGGAGCTCTAGGAGCTAGTAGCTCTGCCAGGTTTCTGTATGGAAATAATTTTCCAAAGAAGACGACACAGGGTGAGGCTATGTTGGCCTTGCAAAATTCAAGTGAAACATCGGATCTGAAACATGGAGCATGGCCAGCTCCTGGCTTTCACAGGAGGGCCACTGCTCGCTGTCATAGCTGTCCCTCACTGTAGAGCAACGCTGACAGGACACGAGGCACTTCTTGCAAGTCTTAGGAATACCCAGGGGGTACGAACAGCTAGGGGAAAAGCCTGTTGCCAAAATGCAGCTGAGGGCAGCAGGTAGAAAGCTCTGAAACCGAAGCCATTTCTCTTCTGGAACCGAGGCACTCGAGCTCAAACCTTTCTATTTCAGCTGCCTGGGATTGCTTCTGTTGTAAAACCGGTGTCTGTGGAGTCTGGCTGTGTAATAAATAACTGGGACCACAGCCTAATCCCTCTCCAAGGCAACCAGACGGTTCAGAAATTAAGGAGTTCTGGCAGCTGGATACTTGTCGTGTGACATAGGCATTAATACTAGTTTATGCTATAATTCTGGTATTTAATGCCAGTCTGTTTGGAGGGGTTTTGGAAAATGTGGGGAGTAAAATGTACCGATTTGCATGTTAGGAGATGGAAGCCATCTGGGGCATCTTGAGGATTATGCTGTGACATGGGTTCACGGTGATGCTGCAGTTTCTTTGGCTACATCAGATCCGCTCAGAAAACAAACTTTGGTGAAAACATGTATGACAGAGCTAATATGTCTGCAAATCTCTTTCAAACACCAAATTTCTTTGAAGCTGGTCCAGAATTACTCAGAAAATGCTTCTGCCTTCTATGCTGGACAATCACAACCATGTCAAGTTTCCATGTAAATGTCAAACATGTTGAGATGGCTTTGCAGGCATTCGGATTTGAGTATGAAAGAGCAGGAAATTTCACTGTAAATAGAAGGATTAGGGAAATGTCTTCAAGGGCAAAAAAAAATAAAATAAAAAAACAGGATTCCATATTTGCATCACAGCTTCATGTCAAGTTCAGCAATTTAATGGTAAAATTTGGGTAGGCTTTTTGGTAGTACTCCCTGTTTACTGAATTGTAAGTAGCAAAATATGTGGCAGTGAGTTATTCCCTTGTAGATACTAAAGAAAACTAGCTAAGTTTGCTTTAATCTTTGTATTTACTTTTAATGCAATTTGATACAACAAACAACCTTCTAACATCCTGCAGCACGAGTTGCAACATTTTCTCTGGATGAGTTTCTCTTCAGGACTTTCCCTTATTTCATGTTTATATTTGAATTTTGTGGGATATAGCATATTAATTTCCTCGCGGCACAAGCAACACAAACATCTCCAAACTGGGCAAATACCTCGGGTTCAGTATCACAAAAGTCTTCGTTCCTGCTGATGATGGAGATGGTTGAACTCAAGGAATGTGAGGATTTCGGTCTGCGTCCGTAGGAGGGAGAGGACTGCTGATTGTTTCTTTCATTTTGTGTCAACATCGACAGCTTCGATGGAGCCGGAAAGCCTGTGGCACCGCAGACAGAAGTGACCTTTTTGTTAACTCCAGGAGGTGGTGGTGCCCTAAAGCAGGTTCTTGGGCTGTGCTGTGCAACTGGGGGGCAGTCACAGCAGTGCAAGGTGTTGCAGTTCCTGCCTCCGTGTATGAGGTGGATTATTACTGTGCACCTCTTTTTATTTATTTTTTTTTAGGCATAGGAAAAACATAACTTTTTGTTGTTGCTGTTTTTTTAAATCTATAAATTCTTTAGATTGGTACAGACAGGAGAGATCTATTTATGTAGCAAGGGCATCTTAACAGTATCCTTTACTGACAGAAGCTCTGCAAAGGGTGGGACTTCCAGAATGACCACAGTGGCCCTGTCCTTGTTTCTCCTGACTTCACTTGCAGCTGGGTAGGCTGACAGAGAGCACTTTGCTGAGCCAGGCTCTGATTCTAGAGCTACTCTATCAAGGGGGATATGATTGTATGTTTGTATTGATCCTTTCTGACTTTCCAAACTACCTACTTCTTTTTTTTTTTCATATATATATATATAAGTATGTGTACATAAAGCACTTTTTATAGTGACAGTGCAAAACATATACAAGTTGCTGGACTGTTATTAGCAACTTGGTTTAAGCAAACTCCAATGGTTATAATTGGATGAAAGGCAATCTACAAAGTCTTGTAGTAGCCTTAAGTTGTCTGAAGCTCTTGCCACATGATGGACAATTTATAGTTTTCAGAAAAGTCTGTGCCCTATTTATTTGTATTTAAATATGAATAGATATGATATCTAGGAGAGCTTTTTCATAATTTACAATTAATATAAATCGAGAATCTATTTTTTCTTTTTATTCCTGGATTTACCTTGGGGAGGCCTTTTGCATACCTGAAGATTTTCAGCTTCAGAATCACTTTGTTGCCTGCAGCAGATTGTAACATCATGGATTTGCCACTTTACTTAGTTTTATTCTCGTTTCAGGAATGCAGCTGCTTGAGTTCTGGGAAGAGATGAACAGAGTTATCTCAGATTCTGAACTGATGACAGGAGTTCCCTACTCATCTGCAGTACCTGGACTGACACAGTATCTCCAGAGCATCACCAAACTTGTGATATCCATGCTATCGGTGACAACAGGTGCTGACATCCAGAGCAGCAGTTCACCTGTTGCAAAGAAAATAGCCAAGCCACCATTGTCAATACATCATCTCCTTCATAGTGAGTTTCATGAAGTACGTCTGCTTGCATTGGAAGCAGTATTGCTCTGGCTGAAACTAGCGAATGCCAAACAGATTGCAGAAGAAGGTGTGCTTGTTGACTTGGAAGTCATTCTTCTCAAAATGGCTCTGAAGGAAAAGAATCTCGACTGTTTTTATAAGGTAGGAGTGTGCTACTTTATTGATGTTGGTATGTTTTAACTAAATGATATTCTTAATTTTTGTAAGTATATTTCAAACATACATGATGTTTTAAAATACTGTGAGTAGTTTTTTTGTACCATTGAATAGATCTTTGTTATAATTCTATAACACGTTCTTTAGTAAAGGCAAGAACTTCCCTCTTCGCTTTTCTAACACTATCAGGAGAGAACCTCCTTAGAGTGGGGCTTAAGACAGGTTTTTATTAGTCTCGCATGTACACATTCACATTGAGATTGTTTGTAAATTCTTTTTTTGTGAATTGTGTGTGCAGGTGCTGGAAATTCTGTGCATGATGGATCTCAGAAAAGTGCTTCCGAAGACTGACAGCTCTATAAAAATGAATCCAAATGAGCTCTTAACCTGGAGTTTAAACACTGTAGATACCTACAACAGGTATGGTCTGGCACGAATATTAGATAGCTGTTTTTGAAAAACCTTGAATATTCAAGTGTCAATTTATTGGGTTTTGGGGCTATATGTTGATTAAAAAAATCATGTAAGCATGGCCTATTTTGAAAAAAGATATCTTCTGATGAGATTTTTTGGAGAAGTTAGACATGGATCTGAATTGTTAAAATGGCCCTCAAGTCATACTGGCAAGCACCCTATAAATGTCCAGCAATGCGGTTCTTGAATAATAAGTTACTACATCTATCAGATGATAGCCAGTGACTATAGCTCTTCCAAATGGCAATCAGGAAACACGATTTATGCATAGAGGTGAGGATTCAAACACACACTAAATCACTCTGCATCTGCTATTCATTCTATTCTGGTTTTCTATGGACAATCTGTAGAAAGTGACAGACCTGATTTCACTTATTGGATTAGCAAAAGCAGTTAACCTTAAAAATAAAAACCTAGGCCTAACTGGTCTTTACAAGATTATTTGAATTTAGGCTTTGTTTCTTGTGCATTGTGGCCTGTTCAGCCATGCTTAAATTTGTGTGTTGTATATTCCATCCTGTAGACTGGATGCATATTCCTAGTACTGATGTTACTCATTTTTTCACATTATTTGGATGCAAGTATAAAGTTTTGAATGCACAAGAGAAGAAAACTGAGACTTAGCTGTACCTTCAGATCTGGTGCACACACTGTCCTGAAGTCTATCTAACTGGACAGGGCTGGCTGCTTCTGCTCGGGTTTCCTAACCTGCAGTATATATTGGGAGAAATTGATAGTCTAAGCTTAGATTCAAGTGTATAGCACATCTTTGAATGTACCACACTGTCTGTCTACTGTGTGCTCCCCTCCATCAGTATATAGTTATTGAAAGAGCAATCCTTAATGAGACTGGGTCTACAAAGTCAGCAGTAAGTGCTGGTTTGTAGTTCACACTGAATTAGATGGCTGTGTCCATCTGTTCATAAAAGAATGGACAAACAGGGTGAAAAGCATCCAGACTCTGAGGGCAAGACTGCCCTGTTTCTAGTAGTGGTGGTTGTCTGTTTTGGAAATCATATAAACATCATGCCACCATGTTACCAATCTATAATATTTAGGATTTAGAGTGTAGGACAGCATGAGGTAGCTGTGCACATTTGTGGTTGATTTGCACAAAATTTGTCAAGTTTAAATAATGTTGTGGTGTGTTTATTTCTGGAATGAAATAAGATACACTTGGTAAAATAACACTGGCTGGTGCTATTGAAAAGGGAAGTCATTGAAATAGCAGACCTTATTGCTCAGGTGTTGCCATTCCCTGCTGAGAGACCCACCCCTTCAGGAGCCATGGTGCCAAGCACCCTCTCCTGAGACCTTCTGAGCAGTACCGAGGCTCAGGAGCCAGCAGTTGGTGCATTGTGCACTACTGACTTTCCTAGCAGCTGCAGAAGAGAGATTTCTGGAAAGTAATGCCAGCTTGAAGAAATGCTCTTGTTTATCATTGCAAATAATGTCTGGTTTGTTTGACTCAGGTTCCAGTTTCAAATGTATTTTTCTACAGAAAGGTAAAGAGGTGAAGAAAGAGCGTATTTTATTTGCATATTAACTGAAAAATTAACTAACATCATGATCTGTAACGTAAAGCTCTGAGTGCTCAGCTTGCAAAACACCCATTGGTGATAGGAATGATTAAGAGCTGGCTGTTTTTCTTCTAGAGATGAAATGATGACAGAAGTTACCGCTTTGTTTTGATATGTTCTTTATCTTTTTTTTTCTCAGTGCTGAAATTCAAAGCGTAGCTCTCAAATTTGCCTCGAAGTTGGTTATGCATCTTCTACAGAATCATCAGCAGGTAAGGGAAAATGAGCAGCTTAATTCTGGAGTTTTCGATGGTAGAAGTAATGTGGCTTCTTTTGGATAGAAGCCCCAAGCTTGTGTTTTCCTGTGTCATGCCCCAAGCATGTGTTTTTGTGCCATTACGCCTTCCCTTCTGAGCTAAGCACTGCGTTTGGAAGCGAAACCTCCACCAGCAGCACCTCAGTACATCCCTTTGAAAGTTATTCCAAGCTAAAATACGTAAATAATTTTTTGATGGATTAATTTCAACTTCTGAGACCATCCAAAGTAGTCACTATGACATGGAAAGAAAAAGGCTGACTAATTAACACCCTGTAACGAACCATCCGTATCCTGAAGTTGTGGTTGCCGGTTGCAGGGGGGCAGCAGGATGGCCTCACTAAAGGGAGGCCACAACGTGTGGTGGTGTCAAGGCTGATCCAGCCTTGCCAAGTCTCAGCCTGGAGTCACTGCTTTCCGAGCACTGCAGCCTGCTGTTTGCGTGGAGTTTCTCACTGAATATCCTCTTAAAAATTGTTTTTTGAACACTAGAATAAATATCAGAACCCTTGTAAAATTCAAGACTCTCTGTTCTCTGTTGCTGTTTTTATGGACTATTTGATTGAGACTGATAGCAACACAAATTACTGCCTCACGTTTCTTTAGATTTCAAGTTGTCAGTCTGTGATATCACATATATATGCACAGAGCAGTGCTGATGCAGCTTTTAATACCAGGCAATTTTTATTTTTTTACATTTTCGAAGATAAAAAACACACTTTATGGATACTTATTTTTTTCCTTACAGCTGTTGTATTTTATAAAATACACAGCAGAATTGATTCACATTGTGTGTTACATAAACTTCTGTCTCATTAAAAAAAGCCACAGAATTGCACACGAGAAGTGGGAAAATTAAAATGACTTATGTTGTTAATTCTTTTTGTTTAAGAAAGGCAAAATGCATGGACTTCAAGTCATAAACAATAAAACACCCATGGTAAACTTGGGTTCACAAATAGACTTGGAACATAATGTTGCTGTGCAGTTTTCTGATAATTTATGAAGAGGAATTAGTGAAAAATGCTGGCACGATCTGAGCTGTAGTGACGCTAACACAACTCCTCCTAATAAGCTTGTAAATCATGGGAGACCTAAGACAGCTGTATGGAGGGTGCCTTCTGCTTTATAAAAGATCAGGTACACCAGGAGTTTTACATCTAAATTTCTTTGGGCTTGCATTCAGTTTGTGCATCTGTAGGAGGGGTTGCTTGAGATAATGCATGTGTCCGTTCAAAATTTGAGTAAACGCAATCTTTGAGGAGATTTTTATTTTTTTAGCCCATTACAAACTCTGTAGGAAATGCTCAGGCTTCCGTCCCTGCGTGCAGCACTGGTACACAGGCACGAACCACTCCCAGTGAGGCAGAGCACGAGTGAGGTTTCATTTGCCCCTTGATGAGTCCTCCTGTACTTCTGTGCCCTTTAACTCGGCTCACCTTGACATTGGTTCTCTTCTCTACCTTACTTGCTTCACTTCATTTTTTCACTTCTTTAGTAAAAACAAAATTAACAGAAAAGGAAAAAAAAAAAAAAGTATAGTTGCACACAGCCTAAATGTTTCCAAGCTGAGCTTGTGCTCCTTTTCTTTTCATACACGAGGACTACTACTTCCCTGTTACAGCCCAGCTGTCTGAATGGACATCAGAGTTGACAAGCCTTGGGAGCACAGTTCAGTTTGCAACCAAAATGCATGTTATTTCTTTCTAAAAAAAAATCTGAGCCATCGCTACATGTCAAAAAGAGTCAAAGCTTTGGTCCATTATTCCCAAGTTGTCATTTTCCTAGTGTATGACTCTGAGGACTAAATATTTTCCACAAGGTGGCAACTGAAGGTTTTTTTTCTTTCCTGTTCTTTTTTTGCAACTCTCTGGCTTTCAGGATAGCAAGCTTTGCTGCATATCAGCCACCATTCAACCAAGATTCCTTCATTGTTTTGAATGCACATGCTGTCAGAGCCCAGGTTAGCTCCGCAGTATCAGTAAAACCAATTGTCCATCTGTATCTGCAGAGGAGACAGATGCAGCTGCTTTCTCCTGTTCACCAAGCACTGTATTGTTACCAGAATTCCTACCATGATTGATTGCTACAGTTCACATGCTCTTAGCTGTTTTTCCAGATGCATGTACCAGTCTACATGTAGGATGCTCCTGTGAATTCCTTTTTTTTTTTTTTTCCCTGTTACAGTCCAGTGTATCTGTCTTTAGCTTTCATGTTTAGAATAGAGGATGAAAGGACATGTTTTGACTTGTGGTCATTGGTGAGTCTAGTGTAAAGGGACAGAGTAAGAGAATTGACTATGAATATGGGTACAACTAAAGGAAAACCTTCTATCTTAACTGTTTGTGACACAGCAAACCAACTTTTGAATGGACATAAGATTGACCACGTTAGAAAAAAATGGGTTTTACTAATGCATTGTATCTCTTTGGCAGTTTAATATGATAGTCACCAATATCACTGAGTGGTACAGCATATTTCTCCCATGTGTTTTCTGCTTTCAGATTTCAGAGGAGGTCTTAAAGAAATGGGTTCAACAGATAATTTCTTTTTGTGGAGATGAGCAACAGACAGAAATGCTGTTAGCAGCTGCTGAGGTACTTAAAAGTATAACGCCATTCCTTCTGATCAATGAGAAGCTCATTCTTGGTGAGTAGTTTGAACACACTTAATTTTCTGGATCTTTTTAGATGAAACCTGGTTATCACATGACTGTATTATGGTACATGTATATGCACACATAGAACACATAATCAAACGGTATTCTGCAATTTTTTTATAGGACAGTGTACTAAACATTACTTACTTAAGCTATGAAGTTATTTAAATTCTGGTAGAAAGAGCACATGTGTAGAGCTTCTTGCAGTAATTCTTCAGAAGGGGAGTGTGAGGTGCTGTAATGTCTGCAGGCCACCTACATCTCTGTACAGATTTACTGGCTTGCAATTACTCTGACCCAGGTCTTTCTGACATATTCTGTTGGTGATGTGGACATGCTTTTAGTTGCCCAGCAAAACTCTGTTGGCTGAATGTTGAAATTAAAAGCTTCAGTCTAAGAAAACATTCTACTGTGGAACAACACATTCTACTATGAGAATGGTTAGTAATTACATCACATCATACTACAGAAGTACGATGATTTTTTTAAGTTAATACTAAACAATCTACTTAGAAAACCACCCAACAAACAAACAAAAACCCTTCACAGCCTTATTCAACAACATATTACTGACTGAGAGACAAAGCTATGAGAAATTCTGTGGTCTACTAAATAGAAGAGTTTATTGGTTTTTTTTTGTTTTTTTTTTATTTATTTATTTATTTAAAAAACTATCCCCTTTCCCCCCAGCGCTCCCTTTTTTTTCCCTGTCTTTTGAAAGCACAGAGTAAGAGGATTTTGTGACTAAAAGGCTAGGGTTTATCCAAAATGATAAAGAAATTGTTTTGCATCTTGAGCAAGGCAGTAGGCTTTAAATGCTTTTGGTTTCTGTAATAATTTGAAGACAGCTGTTTATAGCTTTCTAGTTTGAGTAGCTTGAGTCCACTAATATAGACGGGATACAAATTTTTGTTAGGCAAGAAGAATGATAGTATTTGTTATGCTGCAGATAATGGTGTTTTTCAAAAGTGAGTAGTTTATTTTGAGATGTCTTTTAAGAGGTATTTGTGATATTAAAGAGAGCAATTTATTATGCTTGAAATCTTAGTAAAGCGAAACAAACAAACCAACCTGTAAATAAAAGCCCACAAAGCATCAGTGGATAGCCATTTAAATTGGCTCTTTGCCCTGAAAATCGGACCTGGGTAAGAAAGATGCAGAACTAATCCTCCAAACAGCCTAGAATTGCCAGTCTGGGGTTCTTCACAGCTCTGAAACTGTCAAGTGCTGCAGCGAGAATCAAAGGCATGAGCTCCTCTTGAGCTGCAGTGATATAAACCCAGAATCATTCTGTTAAGGGGTCATGCTGGTCAAACAGTTTTGATTTTTATGCCTCATTCTGCATCAGCTCGTTTGACCACATATTCCTGAAAGCAGAAGCTAAAGAAAAATGCAGTTGTATGAATTGCAGCTGTAGTCTTTCGGATAGGCTTCCTTGAAGTACATTCAAGGCTTCCTGAAGCGCATTCATAAGAGGAGGGCCAGTGCAGGTCAGCATGCACTGGATTCCCCCATTTTTCCATCACGTTGCGCGAGTGTTCAGAAGAGTCTTTCTGGAAAATGCATTTGCAGTCTTCCACCTCTGGCAGGTACAATACCAACTTGTCTAGGTCAGAAAGCTGGTGATTGAATGTAGAATAGGATAATTATTCTGCTCCAGCTGTGCCAGCATAACATTACTTGGCATATTGTGCTATAAAAAAGCAACTACTTTCTGAAATTATTATAGTCCATGCTATTCCCAAATAGGCAATTTATATGAAATACAGGAACGCTTCTTCTGCCTGTGAAGTAAAGCCTCAAGCAGTTCACTTTGGCCAAGCAGTGCAATAGACTTAATTGTCTGGCCAGCCTTGTAATATAAATCTCTGATAGACCTGTTGATAACATGCTTGAAGCAAACCAGCGCAGCAGTGAAGCAGCCATTCTGTTGTTCTCTGCAATCACCAGAAAGTGATAGTATCTCACAACTGACTGCCTCTAAGAGGGATGTTCCAATGGATTCCTTTAACCAGGATGCTCAACGAGAGCTGAAGTCAGTCCACTTTAATCATACCCCAGCAAACCTATGAATGCAGTGACTTCTGCACTTCAGCTGGTCAGCCTTCATGGGGCACCCCTAAACAGCACAAGGGTTCTGTAAGCTGTGTACAGCTTGTGATGTGCATTGCCTCCGGGGTGATAGGTGGAGTCTGTCTGAGTTCTAAGAATTATAGGAAATAATAGGAATTATGCACTCTAGAAACTATAGAAAATTCAGAACACCCAAAACTTAGAGCAATCCATTGGAATGCAACTGGAATGGAGCGATCTACTGTTTAAGCCAAGCTGAGACAACCACCTAGATAAAGTTCACACACAAGCAGAAAATATTTTTATTATATTCCCAGTTGTCTTCCTAGTGGATTGCCAGTGCATTTCTCCTGCCCTTATTTCAGTGTTTAGCTGAGTTTGTCATGTTTAAGGGTGGAAACATAATTATGTAATTTATTTGAATGTTTGTAAGAAATGGAATTCTATTTTTTTCTCCATAAATACATATAGGTCTCTCTGATACCCTTGCAATGTGGAAATGTGTGATTCTTCTGCTGCAGAATGAAGATTTGGTAGTAAGGGATGCTGCTTCTGAGGTTATACAAGTGGCACAGTCTCAGAAAAGGAGCAGTAAAGGAACAGGTATGTTAACTTTTCTTTAGTTTTCAATAATATGAGATTCTGAGAGACAGAAGTATTTCAGTTCTCATCACAAAATTCTTGCTAACTGTAAAATGATCCACATATCTCACAAACGCCTACCATGGAAGATAACAGTAAGTTGAGATTTTACACCCACCATGCCTTATTATTTTGTTTTTACTGTTCTTGGTATAATTTGCAAATGGTTATATGGGTATGTGAAAAGGACAACAGCAGTGTTCAGCTTTATGGTTCTTGCTGTGATGAGTCAACTATCACATAAGGAGTAATGCTGGAAATTATTTAATGCCAGCCTTGCTCTAATACAGCGCAATGGAAGACACTGTTTGGGTCTCTGGTCATTATAATAGCCTGGTCACAGTGAGGAATCCGGAAAAACAGTATTCAACTCATTGATTCGTTATTAGACCTTGAAATCCATTTAGTTCCAGATCAACAAATACAATTCTCAGAACACCCACAATGTGCTTTCAAGGACGAGGGCCCTTCTGTCTGCATGCCCTAGTTTACTCAACCCTGGTAGTTTTAAAATAGCCACAAACTTGAGTAGGCTTAACTAATTAATGTACTTTGCTTTGAGAGTCTTTGCTGAAGCATTCTTCTGTGTGCTGTGAATAAATACGAAAATTGCTTCCAAGCTGCTCTCTCTCTGGTGGACCCTCCTGGTCCGTGCCATTCACTAATGCCTGTACCAGCTTGGCTGCAGTCAGTACAATGTGGTCGGTCCTCTCCACGTGAACTTCTGCTAGACTGTTGATAAAGCAGCTCTGTGGTTTAAAACAACCATGGCAGTAAAAATGTGTGTTTTCTGCTGCTGTAGACAGAAGTAGCTATGAATGTGCTCATGTGGCAGATGTAATTTTGAGCTGGTGCTGTTCAGGCACGGTGCTGTGGGGTAGGAGAAGGAAAAAGGAGGGATGTGTTAAAGATGGCTTTCATCATCCTCTGAGTTCCCACAGCTCTGATTCCAGCACACTCATCACAGCTCTGGTGATTTATTTGGTCCCTGCTACAGCTCTGTTGAGTATCAAGAGTCTCTGCGTATGTGTCTCAGGTCCCTGACAGCGGCATTTTGGGGCCATTCTCAAATACCTCTAGATAGTACTTTCTCTGGAAATAATGCAATGCTGTTCTCTGGCTCCTGTATTTCATCCCTTTTTCCTTGTTGTGTCTGCATACCATGGGATACTCCCCTATAGCTGGATGAGATGTTAAGGGCTCTGTCTTCCTAATTAATACCAAGGTGATACCAATACTGCCAATTTGTTAGAGCATAAGTGGCCGTAACTGAGGAAGTAATATAATTGGTTTTTAGTTTCAATGTTCCTAATTAGGATAGGGACCCCCTCCCCAAACTTGGGTTAACCCCTTAGTTATACCTAGTTTTGCCTTCCTGTACTTTCACTTAAGCTGCTTCTAATGAAATCAACATCTTTTACCTGTTGTGAATAGCAAAGTACACTACTTCTGAAAAGAAATAATAAAGTTTCTTTCCTCCTTCATTTAGCATTTCTATCATTGTTTCTTCCTGTGACATTTTTCCTCATTAAACTCCTTTTATTTCTCTGTGCTTTGCTTTCTAACTTTCAGGTTAGGAGGGGAAGGCTTCTCACCACTGTGGCTTTCGTTTACAACCAGATAAAAATGAGGATTACCTTCTAACGTTGTTAGTTGCTTTCATTTACACTCTTTGTGTCGTGTTCATGTGAGATAACGCAGTATATGTTTGGGTCTGGGGTTTTCTGCAGACATTTCATGAGTCACTAGTGCTCTCTGTCCTGGACATTTTTAAATGACATTCAAATCTCTCTGTATGTTTTTCTCAGTTTTCATTCTGTGGAAGTCTGTTCCTTTATCCTAGCACTGATTTTAAAATTTCTAAGCTAATACACCAGAATTCACTAGAAGCCATAAAACAGCTCTTTATACCCTTGATTTGATAAAAAATTGTTGGATATTTTACTCTGACTGACTTTTCATTTCCATTATGCGATGATAAATCCATATTGTGGCCCAGCGGTATTATCATGCGATCAGAATGCAAGATGACTCAGGAGACCAAGACGAGAAGTGGATGACTAGAATGCCTTTTCCATACACTCTGTAATTGTTTTATCGCCGTTAGCATTAGTTAACATGAGAGAGTAAGCGGTCTATTATAATTTCAAGTTTTTAAGTTCATCAAACGTTTTTATGCCCTAGTAGACTTTATATTTCCAGAAACACTGCATTGCACAAAGTGGTTGTTGCGAGTGTCACCTTTTACTGTTGTTAATTTGCTGCATACAAAGTGGGAATGCTGCTCACAAAATCCAAGCGTTGGATTTGCCAGAAACGTTGGCACTAGCTTCGTTATATCTGCTCTTGACAAAACTCTCACCTGTGTGTACAGCATGTAAAGCAGTAAGCTGTAACTGTAGAAAGACTGAATTGTCCAGTTAGGGAAGGAACACTTTAAGTTTCAGATTTACGTCTGAGATCCAAAGAAATCTCTGATTATGGCCTGATAACTCTGATTATGCCTATGTAAATGATAACTGATACAAGCTGGCATCTGCTTTTCCTGTGGCAAAATGCAGCATGAGAGAGCACATACTTGTATGCAACAGCTGAAGTGAGTCTGAATTTTTATTCTGTTTCTGGAGGGTAAGATGTTTGAAGCTGGACTTCTGTTAAATTGTAATAAACTTCCAGATTATTTGCATAGATTGTAAACACAACTGTTACAGGATATTTCTCCCTTGCATGCATGTTCCTGAATTACAGCACACGTGTAGCAATGTGACTGTGTCATGTAATAAGTATTCTCAGGTCATTTATAGGTGGTGAAACTGGAGGCAATTGGTCCTTTCTATTAGAGTGGTTTCACTTCCTGTAACTGCTCCTATCTTGTGTAATTCTTTGAAGTGTTACGTGAGCTCCTGGAAGGGAATATGAACTTCGTTTCTTGTTATTCCCTCATGGCTTTTAGTGAGAGGGGGAAAAAAAAACAATACATGTATCCTTGAGTAACTAATCCATGCAGCTTTGGATTGCTCAAATGAAGAGAGCAGTAACCTTGCAGAGTCTGAAACCCAGGGTAACATATGTGATAAAAAAAACTCTGTCAAAATTACAGCCCCCATTTTTAGCTGAAAGGAGAAAAGCTCAGAAGACCAAACACTGACACACAGCAGGGCTCCTATGCTCTGCCCTCCTCTTCCTCAAAACCTCCTACAAAACATGTTGGTTTTTTATCGAAGACAATGACTTCCCCTGATACTGGTAAAGTTCATTTTTATTTATGTTATTCATACAGAAGAACTTGATTTAAATTTGTAATACAAGTAAAAACTTGTAATTATGGGGGGGCAGGGGGTACTGAGGTTGGCTGGCTGCTGTCATTTTCAGAACAGAGCAGGTCAAACAGAATCCTATCTCACTAGAAAGGAGAAAACCTTTTGTTTTGCTTGCTAAAAATAACAGCTTAATAGGTAGTTAAGGTTTTACTGATAACTTGGACAATATAAACCTGATCTGTAACTAGAGGTATTGCATGTACACTTTGTTGTTGTTTCCTCATGCGTTGAGGTGTAAACTTCTGGGGGATTGTTTTATTCCTTTAGTATGAGGGAGGGTGCAGGAAGTATTGTATTCAGTGTAAATGTAGAATAGCTGCTTTGAAATCTAATTAAATTAGTGACCCATGGCTGTGTAAAGTCTAGACCTATTCACAGCAGCGTTGCTTATCCAAGAGGGTTACTCCTTACAAGAAAGCAGATTATTTAAGTCACATGGAAGGGGTTTACTTTCTCTACTGATGAGTGCTTTGCTGAATATCCTGACCGATTCAGTTGCGAGAAGGAAAGTTGTATTCATTGTTGTCATTTTCCTCTGTGGGTTTTTTAATCTAGAGAAGTACTTCCTAAAGTAAAATTGTCAGTATTAGAAAACTTGTTGGTATTAGAAACATTTAGATAAACCATTTATCATTATTTAAGCCAATACAATTCTAAAAACCACATATGTTTAGATTAATCTTTATGTTGCTAAATTACCAAATGAACCTGAAATTGGTTTAAGAGCATTTTTAGTGTTGTCAGCATTTGCACCAATTTAGCTGGCTTGATTCAGCTCTGACAATTTTAAAAGTGAAGGTGAACAATTAGACTCACAGAGCTGGATAAATCTTTAAATGCGCCTGAATGACATAGGAGCCTAAAAGTCCTATTGAATGTGATTGAGGCCCTGGGGAACCTCTTCCAGTATTTAGTTGGTCAGAGGTTGGACTAGGTCATCCAGGAGATCTCTTCCAACCTAGATGTTTCTGTGATAGTGTGGCAGAGCAGTACAGGACAGAGGACAGGTTAGCTCGCTGGTGGCTGCGTAGCTGCAGAGCTTCACACAGCATGCAGCAAGTAACCAGGCCCACTCCAAGCAGCACAGTCACTGGACACACAAGCATCTTAGATAGTCAGTCCAGTGTTGTCAATATTTCCCTTGCTTCCAGCACAATTCTGTGGATAGTTTGTGGCTACAGATGACGTAGTCACTTTTGAACATATTGCTGATAAACTCACTGAACAAAAATTCAGGTACATTGATCCTGATCCTTCTGTTCCCATTCCACATGCAGTAGAGGGTACTTGTACTCTTGGGTCAGGAGTTTCTTCAAGAAAGGCAATGCAAATCTCTCTTCTCTTCCAGGGTGGTGTTCCCTTTTTGACTCTTTATATTTGACTCTTAACCTTCAGTAAAATAGTGAAGATGACAAACGTGCTGCTGGGGAAGGGGCGTCACAGGTCTGTGTAGCAGATTTGGTTGAGATTTTGTGGAAATTGGGTATTGACCACCGGTTTAGTGGCCTCCAGTGTCTCAGGCATCTCCTACTGTGTCAGACTAAATGCATGCGGACTTGCCTTTCTGTAACTTTTATTTTGCTTATTGACTAAAGGGTGTAAATGTGTACAAAGGGAGAAGTTAAAATGTGCTGCTGGGGG